AAGTCGTGAGCTCTGTGGATTTTACATCTTGCGAATATATAATTGGTGCTTCAATCACCTTATGCCATATCACGCGATTTTACGCTAAAATGATTGTTGATTGACGTTTGATGATACTTCGAAGTTTAACTCGACGGTTCTCAACGAGTTTTCCCCGTCTTCGCGAGCAATAATTATTTTATTTCTCGTTCTCATTCGAGACCAGCTATATTATGCAAATAATAACAAGAATTTCCGCGAGATACTTATCTCAATTGCATGATTAGAGACTTAATAACGCGTGCGATGAAAAGCTTGTCGTTCTAACGAAATAACTGGACTTGTCGAAAGTACAATTTTAAGTATAGTTTAACATCAACATAAATGGTGGAAAAACTTTTTACTCAAGATTGACTTCAATGATGCATAAATGCGTAATGCGATGATGTACCTTCGATCAACTGCGCATCACTGCCTTACTTAATTCAAAGTTTTCTAACACGATCATATACAATAATGAACGGCGTGTAGTTTTTCAAAGAATTATAAGTGTGCAAGCAAATTATACACCAGATTATGACGCGATCTTCATCAAAATCATACTATTTTATTCTATAAAATGTTCCATGAGAACAGGACACATCTTACAAACCTCTTCACAGTTCTGTATACCGTACGTTTTACTCATCAAAGGCTATTGCTATCAAGAGATTCCATTCTGTGACATTTCATGTTTTCGATTAAAAAAATTATTATTAATGTTCTACAGGCGTAATAATTAAATGAAAATTAAAAATAAAAATAAGAATTAAATATATCATAGACTTTTCCGAACATGTATTACAATCGTAAAATAAAAAACTGAATGCAGTAAAAGATAAAATAGTCTCTATATGATAGGCATCTTGCAAATCAAATTAATAAAAGTAAATTATAAAAAATATCGTGTAATAAAATACAAAACAAGATAGTTAGAAATGTTTGTGCGAGCATATCGTACACAAAATATATTCTACCTTTATTTAAATTTATATAATATTTCTTAATAGAGAAATGTATTGCAATATTCGTTACAAATTAAAAATTGAATTAAAGAAAAATGTTATGATAACTGAATCAGTATAAAGAATATATGGAATATTACAGTTCATATAGTGTTTACGATCGCGTAAAGATTATTTCGTTTTGTAAATGATGACATCTGCGAATTCTATTTCATTACGGCCTCCAAGAAACTGGTCGCAAGGATAGCGAGATTGATAAGATTAGCATGTGTTAAGAATTTGGAAAGGTTTGATCGCTGACCAGACAGCGATTTCTGGATGAAGTCTGCGCGTGACGTGGTCGATTGAAATGTTTACTGCGTTATACAGGGTGTTTCAAGATTAAATATCTTTATTTGAATATGAACATTCAAACTGACCATCGGTATATTCACTGTTAAAATAAATGAAGCATAATTATCTTCATAATTTACAAAAGTGTTGTACAAATTGACAAATATTTTTTAATGATATGTTGATATAATGTTTGTGTATGATTTTATTAACATACACAAATTAACATACACGTTTACAGTTAGGATGTTAAATCCTGAAACATTCTGTACAGACGAAATAAAGTGAGTCATTCACAAATTTTTGTCTAGAAGCTATCGCGGTCGATCGTTTCACCTTTTTATAAATGCTCGAAACTGCATCACGATTTCGTTACGCGAATAATTTAATCTTTTGTGTCATAGGCGTCAGTTGCTGATTCGTATTTCTTCTTCAAGCATATGCATATTTATTGTAATTAGATGCATCTCTAAGCAGGATATTGAATTTCGTATCAAATATCTGTGATAATATATAGCAAAGAAGAGATATTAGAATAAGCATACATGATAAATAAGCGCAAAATAATTTGTTTCATACAAACAATGCTGATGCTATCTATTTTCGTAGCTGCAAAAAGACAATGTTGCTTCCGCATGAATAATTCTTTATACGATTAATTTTGACATTGAGAATTACGCGATGGTGATAATATCATCTTTTACATATTTATAAATACTTAAGTCTTAACGTACAGTGACAGTTGTGACAATGATATTTAATACCTAAAATTTTTATAGGTAAAAAATAAAGCAAACTAATTAATTAATATTAATAAATGTCATAAATTTATAATTTATCAATTTATTAAAAATTTTAGTTGTTAAAATATAATGCGAAATTAATCAATTTATACGAATAAATATCAACTTTATAATTTGTCAACTTATTAAAAAATTTTAGCTGCAATAACTGCGAAATATGAGCATAATAGAGAAATTTGCACGATAGAATTATATACCTATTTTAAAATTGGAAGAGAAATATATTATATTCAGAAACACACACCATTCTAGTTATATAACGCTATATATGTAGATGCAGCAGATATCGATTACAGCATTGCTAACGTTGGTTTTGCTGCCGCGTGGTTAAACGCTCAGCACGGACATTGATTGGCATCACTTTGTTCCGTTCGAAAATGAGCTGCGAGCAATATCGCACGGTAGCAATATAACAAGGTAGAGAGGTTGATTCAAGAAATTCTGACATTATGGCAATCTGTCATCGCACGTAATTAAGCCGTCACGGCGGCATTTATGGTAGACGTTTGTTCACACTGCGTTGTCTAGCTCAAAGAGAGAATTAATTATACGTATTTTCTCACGCAGCATCGGATATAGACTATGATTGCCTGCGAAGCATCGTAAAGTAATAACGTCGTCAACTTAAAATAATATTAACTTATCGCAGATACATCTATTATAGAATAGTATATCTATTATAGAATTTGATAAAAAGAAAAAAGGAGGAGATCAAATAAGATTTAATATAAAAATTAGATTAAGTTGATTTGATGAACGATATCAATTATTACGTGATATATGTGTTGGTTATTATGTGATATAATTATTTGAAGATTTGATGTCAGACAATGGACAACTGTGCAATGATTTATGTGTATCAGATAATGAATTTTATTGCATTCATTCACAACTTGGATCAGGAATAGATCCAAGTTTCATTCAGAAAATTCTGACGCAAGAGTGGCCGAGCACTATCATTCAGAAACAATTTGCTTGAGTAATGGCCACCGTGGAAGACGTAACGCGCGCGTAATATCGCCGAAGGAAGCACAAGGACTCTAACTGCGTTTTATCTTCGTTTCTGCTTCGGCGGCGCGTCCCGCGCGTTCATTCCTCTGAGGCTTGTTCACCAACGGGCAGTTGCAATCGCAATATAATTGTTCTTGAGCGCTGTGAGAAATTCGTCTCCTCTTTTCGTTGTTAGGAAAAAAAAGGACGGTCGGCCTTCCGTGCCTAGGTATATAAGACATTCTTAGGCAAGGTCGATGTCGCAATGCCGGCTCGTGCGGACGCACCTTGGATTTATCTCTCGTACGAATTATCGGCAGATTCCAAGTAGCTCGGCTTAATATATAGAAAAAAGACGGTCATTTTTTTTTATTACAACAATTTTAGGTGAAGCGTTCGTAACACACCAAATCGATTTGCGTTTAACGAGAATGTAAGATTAGTCTTCTTTTGCTCATCGATTTTTGCACATGGAGCATAATATTCGTTGTGCCCGTCTGAATTATTGACGCAATCTTGTACATGTAGATTTTGCTTAAAAACATGTAAACGGGTGAATGGAAGGAGTCGCGGCCATGCGCCGACAAAGAGACAAACAGGGAGGGAAAGCACGATCGGGCATTAAAGTCTCCCGCAGTTTACGTTCATGTGTCTCCTCCTGCGATTAATCATTCTTGATTATAATTTTATGATTCAGAAATATCGACATTAATTTCGCCGCTATGATGCCATCTTTTAATACTTTTGCAATTTTTCACACACTTTCACAACACATAGGAAATTTGAGAAAATAATTCCCTTTTCGTTTTCAGATCATTCGATTAATATCAAGTCGATTTTTTCTTAATGCACTATTTCGAAAGAACGCAACATCAAATTTACGTTCATATTAAATTAATTCATATTATTTACACAAATGTGTTGCTTAATGTGTCTAAAAAAATTCAAATAATTGTAGATATAATTATTTTAATTTATATTTTTTATTATCTATTGTAATATACAATGTTATTGATTTAAAAATTTTGAGCAAAAAATACTCGTAAAGCATAGAATGCAAGATTTGGTGCTCGAGCAACCAGTAAATCGTGGATCAGCAGAGCGCATTTCCTTCCCATTTGTTCAAGTAATATGTGTGTCTAGCAAGGATCTATCTAGGTTTATCGAGATGATAAGGAAAATGTACACGCGATCGTGCGGTGTACGTTTGTTTTACAAATAACAAACGTATACTCTCTTAATAAAGAGTGGCACATCCCTTAGAATTATTCAAATCCCATGAATAATTGAGCAGCAAGATGATAATCAACATTTTCCGGTTAGGTGAGAATTCCCCTCGGAATTCCCTCAGGAGAGAACTTTATCTTTGAAGCCCAAACAAATTAATAAATATCCGACTGTGACTACACGGTGACTCGTTGAAATCACTAAACGCGTATAAGATGCTCCTTGAACGCACGTTCGAATTCTATTTTGAAGAAATATCTGAATTTCTAAATCACATGCGAGATTCCAGCATAGGCGAAACTTTCTACATTACGATGCACGCTCGGGACATTACCATTATCGAAATTCGTTTGTCTTTCGTCCGCATTATGCACTACGCCACGTGAATGTTGAGCTCTTGAAGACGACGTGCGAACAAGTAATACAATGTCAACTGGTTTCTCGGTTATTATGCAATCGATCGATTTAGGTATCGCATGGAAAGGTCAAGTCGAGTGGAGATTACTTTTGGCAGAAGATTCTATTCCAGCCGGGGTCTTCTCTCTCTCGTTTCTTCCCTCTTTCTCTTTGTCCTTTCTTGCCATGCCGTAGCTGGACAGAGCCCTGGCTTTTTCTCGTTTTCGGCTACCATTGCGATCAGGGAAAGTGGGGTCTACGGTTTCGTATAAAAGCGCATTCGGGTCTCATGGCGATCACACTCGAAATCTCATCACGCTCCTCCATTGGATCGACAGGATTCGAGCCATCCGCACGACAAAATGAAATTCCTCGTGAGTTGTATTCCCACTTTATCTTCAATTCTGCTATTTATAGATTAAATTTAGCTCATAAAGTCAATATCTAATATTATTAATATTAATATTATTAATATTATTAATATATATTGAATTCTAATCGAAAAATAAAGAATACATATAGATATAAATGTACAAAGATAGAAATATAAAGGAATAAAGAGCGAAGAAAGTGACTATAAAGAAAGATATAGGTATAGAATAGGAAGCAATTTGTAGAAAAGGAATGGATAGATGTAGTTATATTATTAATTGTAAACCAAGTTTCTCCTGGCTTTTATGTATGCTGAAGGAAATAATATATTTTAATTAAATTCTAATTAAATTCGATTCTGCATTTTTACATTTTTTAGTTTAAACTTTTAAAATTGTATAAAAAATTATAAAATCTAACTTAACTTGATTAACATCTGTGAGCCTAATCCGTATATATTTCGATACAATTAAGAAGAAACTCTTTTTAGTCTTTTTTTAGATTCATCAATGCCAACCATTCACTCGGAATAATTCTTGGATTTCCCCATTCGTTTCAATCTTCTCCGATTGTTGCAAAAATAGCTTATTACGTTTCTGTGATCTAATTATGTGATCTAATGTTTGTATAATTAATCGAGAGAAGAATAGAGTGTTAACTAGTGCAATAACAGATCAACTGCAATAAATTGTGTTTAGATTCGCGTTGAGAAACGGCGGACCTTTAATTATTTGTCTATATACGCAAACTATTAACTCGCTTATCTCAAGATTATTTAACATCTCAATGATATCCAATCTTCTTTTCACGGATTTGCTACGAAACCTGTAATCTTTTTTTTGCAGTGTACAATACTGTGCTGCGCAAAGTAGCAATTTTTTGCCTTTTATACTTTCCGGCCAATTACAATGATTTTACATAATCGACAAACGCCCGTTGACTTTTAAATATCAAAAATCAATTATTTAACTGACATCTTTTGAGTACTTATTAATTAATAGTTTAATCCAATCGATAATAATGTTATAAACGATAATGATGTTATAAATTGCTGCGTTTGCTTAATAAAATTCTAACTATAATATATGCTAATTGTGTCCATTTTTTCAATATTATTTAATTATTATATAATTATTTAATTATTCAATATTATATAATTATCCTTTTTAGTAATATCTACCTTTCTTATTTTATCTCGATATAGATTCACGTTTTGAATTATCGATTGAATTATTGATTTTGAAAAATTCTTTACAACGCTTGTGTTAATAAGCAAGAGTAAGTTCACACTTCTAATCTCATATTTTTAAAGAATTTTCCTAAATTATATGAAAATTAAGTCAGGTCTCTGAAACTAATTATGTTGGACCATCGAAATAATTATACAGGACGCTCAAGCATGATGATAATGCTACAAAAAAAATTTGATATTCCATGAACCAGTTTGAACATTCAATAAATTATTTAGATAACCCAACATAATTATTTCAGATCTGTATCTAGCTAAATTTTTTAAAATATTACCAAAACCATTCCTTTCGTGCAGGAAATGATAAAAAATTATTCTCACTGTTTGTCTTATTATATCTATTCTCTTATTCTATTCTGATTTCTATTTTAGATTGTGACCCTCGCTTTAGCCGCCGTCGCTCTGGCCCAACATCAACAACAGCCAGTGGCCATCCTGAAGCAAGCGCAGGACATCTCGCCGGAAGGAGCCTACAGTTACACCTATGAGACTGAGAACGGAATTGCCGCTTCCGAGCAGGGCTCGCTGCAGCACGTTGGACCCAAGAACGATCCTGCGATCGTCGCCCAAGGTAGCTTCCAATACACCGCTCCCGATGGCACTCCCATTGCCGTCTCGTACGCGGCCGACGAGAACGGCTTCCATCCGCAGGGTGCCCATCTACCAGTCGCTCCAGCAGTGCCCGAGTTGATCCAGAGGGCTGTCGCGTACGTTCTAGCCCATCCGCAGCCCGAGAACCAGCAATAAATTATTATCGATGACGTTTAGCAACATCTCCGGACAAAGCGCCTACCTCTCGAGCCACTCAAACTATAGAGATACAAACTGTTTCCTTAATATATAAATATAAATATTTAAGAAACCTTTCGACGTACTCATTTGCCGATCCGATAAATCCAGCATCACTGTTTTTGCCTAACAGGGTAACAAAACTGAAAGGATGTTATTTTTGAAGGCACACTTCTCCAACGTTTAAGACAGTAGAATTAATCAGTATAATAAAAAAAATTAGTCATATAATTTTTGCAGACAATCGTGACTACTTCCATTTAGAAAATTGTATTTAAATATAATACTTTGATATATTACAAGGATCAAGAGATAGAAAAAAATGTATTAAAATTTATTTTAATTTGATTTGTACGCTAATCAACTAGCATACTTCGCACCACAGACATCACGCTACTTTTAATTTATATTATAAAAATTGTAATTCTCTGGGTCACGTAAATTTCGCAGATTTTGTAGGAAGGACACGACAAGATATTTTACGATGTCTTGTATATGGTATGCGCGCCAGATATTTCCGGCCAGAAGACCCTGGCATTTATTTTTACGCAACACGTATAACCGCGTTACACCACCACGCCAGTTTAGCAATTTTGACACGCGGATGACCGAAGTTTCTATTTGCGGAGGTATGGAGCGGACAGAAATGGCTACGAATGTTGGAATCAGGTAGATACAACCTCACGTGATCTAAGCTTCAAAGACGGTTTTGCGATTTCTCACGGGGAAGATAGCGTCTTTCAAGGAACTAACGTTACATTTTGCGTATCACGATGCGACTGCCTTGGAATCGGGACGAAGAAACACGGTAGATCCTGACGCGGTAGATGCAACGAAGGAAAAAACGTAGGCGCGGACGATAAATATTAATGTTATCGAGAGAATGACGGCAAAATTCATTATCGCCCAAAATTAGTATCAAGGCTATAGTATCATACTGCATGCGCTCGATGAATTATGGTATGATTTATGGATCTATTGTTACGCGGTTGCGAGATATGAATAGGAGCCGCATCAAGAAAGCCACATTGTGCTTACGCTTGAACAGAGTTTCCTGCGTTTGAGGATATATTGCAAGAATTGAATACAATGTAATGTTCAACAAGGAACACCTAGAGTGTCCACATTTTGAAAACTTCATCCTACAAAAGATATCTCCGATAACAAAAGCAGCATCATTTTAATAGCAATAATAATAGCGTGATTAATTGCAGTAGTATCGTTTATACAATAGCCACCGTTTATTGTCCTCGCGTGAGGAGCGCAATTAGCGCTGATTAACGCCGATCCGACGATTAAGATGTAATTTTCGAGCGCGACGTAATAAAATTCCCCCGTAAATCCACGGCCGTAAATCGCGGTGCATCATTTCAATCAACATGGAAGATATTTCCTAGGAAATCTCACGACCATTACGGCGCGCATCGTTCGCTAATAAAATGGCAACGATTTTTCGCGCCTACTGGCGTGCATCGTTACTGGTGTAACATTGCGTAGGAAACGACGGGTGAGATCGCGAGGATCGATAATACCCTGTTTTCCATGTGACGTCCATCTCATGATAGCACGCAAAGGTGGGAAATCATCCATTGAGATTCTTATCCCGCCGGCTATCTCGATCCTATTACCGGTAACGCACTTCACGAGCGTAACATGCAAACTATATCGCGATTAATCAATATTAGAGAGATAATTGAATAATGAAAATTTTCGTGGCTGAAGAAATAATCGTTGATGAGAAAAATATCTTGAACAATAAATAATTATTATATATTGCTACAACATACGTTTAACGATTTTTTGCTGCTTATAGTTATTGACGAAATAATTATTATTAATCCTTTTATATCTAAATTATTTAAGAGTTACAAATAATATTTGTATATTTTGCATGTTACATAGCAAAGAAGCCAAATATATTTTGAAAATGTAAGAATTTTTCTACGCGTTATTTTTATTGCAGTTATGTATAATAATTTACATTGAAAAGTTATTTTAGCTATTATATACAATAAAAATCTTTTTTTACCTTTGGTAAATCTATCTAAGATATTTCAAGAAAGTTGATTGTGCAAGCTCTTATTATATTTATAATATAATAATATTATTAAAAAACGGTGAAATTTTACATTACCGAGAAGTTTTTAAATACATAATTCATGCATAAAAATACGTGTTATTTATATGTATAAGCGTATAATTTTTATAGCTATATCTGTAAAGAAATGATATACATATATTCAGATTTAATTTAATTTACATAGATAATATGAAGATATAGATTGCAGTGTGTAATATAATATTTTATTTCATAATTTATAATACGTAGGTATATGGTCGTAGTGGGAAGAAATTAATTTTTTGTTATTATTTATTGGTACATTTGTATATATCTGTTGTGTCCCTTAATACCGAGAGCAGTAATCGCGCAATCGGGAATTATGAAGACTATAATTAATACGTTTAACCGCGAATGATTCCAAAGGCCGCCGTTACTGTTGCAATCAACCGATGCTCTCTTAGCGCAATGTGTCAATTAATGAACGCTTGGTGATCTTTTTTTTTCTCAAACGAACGAGAATGGAGTTGGTCTCTGAGATTCTCCGCGGGAACAAAAGTGATTGGCGATAATAAGCGCTGGCTGGCTCGAGAGGAGAGGAATTCCCTGCTCGCTCTCGCGCGCGGATATCGAGACGAGAGTCTCTCTAATCGCTGGATCCTCAGTGGGCGGTCCTGATAGGCACGACCGCGGGAACAAGTAAAGACATATGTCGGTGGGCGCAGATGCACCGCGATGTATCGCGCCGTGCAATGTGGAGAAAGAAGAAATCCGCGATGGCCGATGCGGTGCGGTGCGGCCGACTCGAGAAAGAACAACGGCAGATTATGTCGAGTGAGCTGAGCCCGTTGAGTAACCCTCTCTCATAATCGAGGGGCTATTTGCCGTCGCGCACGGAGATTTATGAGCTTCTATCGGGACCGGGATCGTTTGCATCTCATTCTTGTTATCACTCGATTATAATGGCAATAATCATGACATTCTCGCCTTATAGTATCGCGAATGCGTTTAAGTAAATCAACGCTTACACAAGTGGAAGATACATTAGAAGCGTCAAATTTATAATAAATGATGACTTGTGTAAATTTTATATAAAGACTACATGAACTAAATTAATAAATCCACGAAAGGAACAATAATTTTTTATTAATTTATAAGCGGATACTCTATTCAATATATTATGTTTATTATAAAAAATTCTACTTTTAATATAAATCTAAAAAGTACATATGTGCTTTTGTGGGACCACTTCTATTAAACTTATACGAAATCATTTACTTCAAATCTATCAATTTGATTTCAAAATCAAAATAAATAAATGCAGACCGGCCGTTAAAAACACTATCGAGAATCAGAAAATTAAAATAGAATCGCGCCTGCGATGTAAAAATAATCTCGAAATTTCATTCCGTTAATAGATGGCTCATTTCATAATGGCGAGCGGGATAGAATCGAAGGATTCTCGAAGGAGGATCGCGAGAGATCTAGGTGAGAAATCCCTCAAATGGAAAGGAGAAGGGTCTGTAAGGCGGTAATTGAAGATCATATCGAGGGCAGATTATATTGATGGGCTTTTCTTTAGCGGCAGGCGCGAATTTACGTCGTTACCAAATCGCACGTTATTACCTGATTATATTTCATTACGTATTATAAATACTGAACGTCACGGCAGCGACGGCGTGATGGCGGTCTCACGTCTGAGTGAGAAGAGAGATCGATTTTGCGTAATACGATTGAACACCATCAGATACTAGCGTACCTTCAAACTATAATTTTCAATCATTAGCTATTATGAACTTTTCATCATCTAAATTGAAATTTGAGAACTCAATATTAATTCAAATGATTTATTTTCACGCGAAAAATAATTAATTTTTATTTTACTTGGATCTAAAGTATTTGATCGAAATACGTTTTGTGATAATTAAGTAGTAAAATGGCTTTAAATTCGTAAAAAGCAAATCGGACTCTTTTCTAAAACATTTACGAATTAAACAAAGCTTTCTTTTACCCTCCTCGTTTTTCGTGTTCTATATTTGTTCTATAATCGTAAGCGTCAGAGCGAACGCGATTCAGATGCGCCTGACATGATGATTACTGAAGCGGCTCAGCGACTAAAATTATCAGATACACGAGCAGCGAGGATGGATTCTGCAATTGTCTAGGGAAAATGTTTATAATAGCATTTCAAGTCAGTACGTCGAATGAACGAGTGCAGAACGGAGTACTCCGCCCTCTGATCTGTACTCGTTCATTCGACGCTCCTCTCGAGCGAATCCCGCGTAACTGCAAGTGGATTACGTCTTGCTCTCCACTCTCCGATCTCGTTAAATTACATGTATATCACGTACTCTTACATGGTTCGTAAGTTTCATTGCGAAATCCACTGTAAAATTTCTCGTCAGAAATCACGAAGAGTATGATCCCCGATTTGTTGATCCTCGAATCTGTTTTAAAATTATCCTAAAATGAAAAATCACGTCCTGCGTTCTACGCGACCGTTCTGTGAAAGTTATATGCCTAAAACATTTAAATTCTAAGAGGAACTTAGCACACAGGCGGCAGAATCTTAATTGGATAGATTTGGGTCAAAGATAGTAAAGTGGACCATGCCCGATGGAGAAGAACGAGTAATGGCGCAACAGGTCTTAGATTTCGTGCCTGATAGAAGCAAGATGCTGCGCGGAGATGTTTCGGCCCCGGTATGGAACGCGTCCCTTTCAGGAATCGGAGATGTAAATCCGCGGGCGGGTCATACCTCCTCTTGGGTAAGCCCGCAGCGGCATAACTGGCAGGTTATTCTCTTCTTCTGGCTCTCGTTCTGGCGCTTCACCGCGTTCGCGTCCGCGACCGCACAATAAAGCCAGCGTTTCTCGCGGGAAGAGCAGTTTTTAATGTCAAGGCGCCGCCTTTTGTTGAGGCTCTCTCCGGTAACACCTTTCTGCGCTCTCGGGCCAGAGTTAGGCGAGGAAGAGGCGCGTCGTCGTATCGCGAGTACGAGCGCGTTGTCGAAATGTCCCGACTAGATTGACTAGAAGTCACCCAATGCTCTGCTCAACGAATCAAATGTCAGACGCGCGATTTTGCGAAAATTCTTCACGAGTCAACAGAGATTTTGCAAAAGTTTCTCACGAGCGTCGCATTAAATATCACCTCGATAAAATTTTCGTTGGGAATAAAAAAAAGGGATCTGCGTAATAAAAAAAACTAGTTTAAATATATTTACATTTGAATTATTTATATTTATATCAGAGTTATGTTGCATGCGCATAGGGTATATAACTCTTTCCAACATGCGACAAACGTAAGCGAGAATAAGTGAGTTCACAATGCATATCTCATTTTCCATAGAGATACAAATTGTTTTATTGAGAAGCGAGGTCGATGCCGTAATTCACGGAGTTTATTGCGAGCGTAATCCTCTTCGTGGTACACCAAACAATGCAACAATTCTAGCTCGCAGAATGCTAAGCACTTAGACAAAAGAAAGGGTGGGCTCGTTCGGAGTCAGTGTAAGATATATAGGATTTATCCTAGATGTGCTTGAGTTTGTAGATAAAAAGATCGTCATTGTTTGGTTGGAGATTGCCCTAGAATGTGGCGCAGGTCCGCATTTTATTGCAGCGTGAGTTAGCAGATAATATGTATAATTGACGATAAGAGATATAATAAGAGATATTGTTTAAGTGAAAATTACGTTTAAAATATCACACAGAACGTTTAAAATATCACAGAGAACATCTGATTATGAATTACTATCGTACAAAAATTAACAATGTAAAAACTAGTTTGGTTTTAAGAATAAATTAATAATCAATCTAAATCGAAAAATTGAAACAAATTACAAATATTTTTTAAATGTTTGGATTCTCTTAATTCTAATATCTATTTGATTCTGTACGTATATTCGACATATCAAAATCTCTCAACGAAATACTAGGAGAGTTTAATAATTTTGCTATTTACATACTTTCTGTTATTGCAATTATTTGTGCAAGATTTGCACAATGTATGAATGATTATAGTGTTTTCTCGAATTTCGCGGAAAACATCGGCAAAGGATGTTCGCAATTCCGCGGATTCGCCTACGTTTCATGGGCACTTACATCTCCATCGATTCGTCCCGCGTGTAATTAGAGATATCGCTGATAAAAGAGTTAACACAAATCCCGCGGAATTAACTTGTATGTACCTTTGTCTCCGTTACACCTACGCGCGCATTGCATGTCCAAGACGGTGAGATTTAATGGCGAAACTGCAAATATCATCGTTACCGACGTGTTTGGAAAAGACGAACGTGCGCGCGCGATTCTTCTTCTCTTATTCTAGTTTAAATACCACCTGTCAAACTAAATCATGCAGCACATTCTAGTCGACTCATTCTAGTCGTCGTCTTGCACTCGTCATGTCTTCAACCCAGTTTGTATCTCAGCCGCATCCTTACGTTTCCCTCTTCGTCCCTTTTCCTTAATTAAAGAGATAACTCAGTTCTTCCCGCAGGCGGGAGAGAGATCCTGACAATTCGCGGGATGAGAACGTGCTAATGCACGGTCTTGCTCGAGAAATATTGCAGAGATACGCTATGACATCCTGCTTTCAGTTTATTTGAAATATAGGTAAGTTTGTTCACGAAATATGAAGAAGATTATATAAAAGGATTATGTAAAATGTACTATAAAATGTAGAAATAATCAATAATCGAAACACAATCGATATTGTCTCCTAAGAAGATTGTTATAGGTATATCATAAAATCTTTTTAATTAATTTAATGCAAATGGAATACATAAATCTCTTAGCATAATAGCAATATCATTTGTTATCGTGCACTGCAGAGATCATGAAATATTTATAAGCGATTATTTTCTTATAATTATTTATTATGCGTCGCAAGGTACCCACGCGTAACTTATCTCGTGAGATCTCCAGAGAATACAGAACAAACACTATATAATTATGTTCATACATTTGTTACTTTGTTTTAAAATCTCTTGCCTTTGACAAGTAGGATGCGACCTAGTTTTGATTACGGTGGACCACTGGATCGAATAAACTTAATGTTCTAGTCCCAGATCAATTTTTTTTAGAAAACTCGGTGTATATATAGTCTCGCGGAGGAAAGATAAAATGACAAAGAGAAGATATTATATGCAATGCAAATTAGATATCCTGTACGTAAAAGAGTTGTTAAATACAATATGTATATACAAGTATGTTATCAAAAATTGTATTACCATTGTTATTAACGGTTAAATCTGCGATATCATATCATATCATTATTGTTTCACTTTTTTTATTGTTATTAAAGTTTATGAGCACTTGCCTAATGTCATTCTAACACTTAATGATACGCAAGAAATTTAATTTATTTCGGCGACCTTTCGTGACGCATCATTCAACACAATTGGGCCCGACAAACGAGGAATCTTGAAAAAATCGCGCAAGCGATCCTGATTGTTCGAAGGATCGATCGATCGAAGGATGCACCAAGGTGTTTCGCCCGGGGTATGTCGTAAGGATCGGCGATGCGCGGCGCGGCGAATCGCGTTACATCGATTCGCGTTACATTGCAGTGAAAGGAATACGCCCTGCGATGATCCGCGGCGAATCCGGCGGCGGCGATCCTGAATCCCGCGGCGGTGTCCGATGCGCGCGCGTTACAAGACGTTACGAGACGCAAGATGATGACGGTTCTCCCGGCAACGAGCAATGCATCCTCGTTAAGCTCGATCTCACCGCGTGGATTCGTATCGTGCACGTGGGCGTGAACACACGCGGGCACGCATACATACGTGGATACGCGCATCGGGTTCCATCCCAATGAACAAGGATGAGTCTCTGCAAGCGCGAAATTAGCCCAATTCGCGTTAGATAAGATACGATGTAGGTACTAGTTGCAGAGAGAGCAAGCTGTAATCAGATGTAGCTAGGAGCAATCGCGTGATAGGTTTTGAGTTTAGGAGTCTTGATCAAAATTCCGAGTGAATTGTGCCGTAAAAAAATGTTATTGGACTTTAATTTAAACCATCATCTTACATGCGTCTTTTTCTTTGTAATTAATCATATGAGCGGATGATAAATAACGACTATATATAAAATGATTAAAATATAAATTTTTATTACAATAAAATTATATATATATATATATATATATATATAAAACTAGAGAATTTTGAAATAGTTTTTTATAGAAAAAAACTTGTCGTCGTGATATATCATTTCCTCAATGTTTTTATTATTGTCTGCACGCATAGGGAGGGATAATCGGACGTAAAAACTGCAGACATATATTTCACATGCCATGATACAAGCAATTTGTATGTGCATACATCATACGAGAATGGTATAAACAGCTCTTGCGCGAGCAAAAGATGCATGCTAATATAATCACGCAATGAATTCAATTCATAGGGAAATGGCATGCGTTTAAGCATCCCGACCTCCAAGCGATGTGAACGATATAGATACGCGCGAGACGCACGAGAACCGCGAGAAAAAGCGTAATGCTGATTGTAAATAACAAAGATGTAAGTGACAGCTAACAGGCGACACATTACACATGCACATTCAATATAATCTGAGCTGAGAGGTATTGGGACCACCTGTAGTTGACATGAATATTTGAGTAAACAAGTACCATTTCTGCATCTCTACGTTCTGCATTTCGAGCAGAATTTTTAGAATAACTATTTTTATAGCTATATAAGTCGTATTTTTAAGATTCTACTCGCGGAAGTATATTTTCAGTATTTTGCCGTTTTTTAACGTCCTTTTATGCGCGAACTACATGCTTTCCGGGGTACACTGTGATTTTGGGGATTTCACGTTTGACATATTCGCGTGTCGTTTTCGCGATGTCTCTCAGTTTCTATCTGCTGTTGTCTGTATCTGTTCCGCGAGTGTAACATGTGCTGACGTGTGTGTAATCTAATAAGCTTGCGCACGTACACACATACACACCCACACACACACATGCGGTGAATCGCGATACGTGGGCAGATGCGCACGCGAATATACGCGGGAGACACGAGGCGCGAGTTGCACGCGAGGGGGACCGTCGGTTACCACCTACCTCTATCGTCTAACCAGAAAGCCCCGACCACCATCCACCACCCTTTGCTTAGTTAGCGGATTACGCGAGTAACGTCTCCAAGATTTATTCTCCCCTTCAACCTCCACGGAAAACGGTCGATGGCGGGGCAAAAAGGGGGCACAAGCAGAGCGTCTCGGTGACTATAAAGCCTCACGTGTTCACCTAAGCTCGTGTGTCTAACTGCAGTTAGCTCAAGAGTTTCGTACGTGGCTTTTTGGAAGATCCGAGTGTGTCTTGCACACAGTGTGATTATTCGCTGCCACGCAAGTGCGCATCGAATCGCCGATAATAGTCGAGGAGTCACCGTTTGACTTTCGGAATACACTAAAAATCATCATGAACACCCTTGTGAGTGTGATCCCTTAATTTTTTTCATACTTTTGCGATTGATCAGCTATTTTCCAAATAATTAAAAATGGAAAAACTTCTAGGAACAAGAGAGATTAATGATTTCGACTAATCGTATATCTCATTTCTAACTGATAAGATAATAATTATGTCAACTAAATAAATAATAGCATTTGTAATCGAAATTTCTGATCAGGATAAAATTTTATCACAAATAAACGAAAAAATTAAATTATTTATTGTAACAAAATTTTATCGAATCTTTGGTTAATGTAATCAATATCAATTTCAAGTTTTTTCGATTTTCAAATTTAATTTGATAGTACAATGAAGATTTAAAGAGTTTGATTTTATCAATATTATTTTCTTTTTTTTATGCTCAATTTATGCTCGTGAAAAAATTTAAAAAAGTATTTCTGCAACAAGTTTTTTTGCATTTAAGAAAGGGGATAAATGTAATAAAACCAGTGACAATCGTGATCAGTAGCAGAAAATTTTCTCAATTTTTTAATGTAAATTGTCTCTCATTAGACTGGATGTGTTTAAAATCCGTGATATCAAAAGATTGATCAGGCACGACGAAATGGGATGCAGAGAGATTTTGCGATCGCTATGATGGTCCGATCGTCGCGGAAGATTTGACACGGATAATTGGATTATCGTTCTCGTGCGAATAAATTTGCAAAAATTCATATTTTATTCGCGTCAAAGAAGTTTCTACGAACGTATCGGTTGCGACGAAGACGATCTTATCAGAGACGATTTCGTCATTTCCGTTTGATGCGCACACAAACGGCGATCGTATTATTCTCGGAAAAATAACGGCTACTACGGTTGTTTGTTACAATTACGACGTGATATCGCGCAAATTCAGCGTTCGTATCGGCGTGTAAATCTCGGCATGATATAACGTATTATGCGCCCGGCCAATAATGAGATGCGCCGAGAGGACAACACCCTTGTGCGTGCACCATTACGAAATTAATAGTACCCGTTATGCTTATTGTAATCGTTACTTCTTCTCGTTAAGCGCGAAAAATATTACGCCGCCGTGTCGCAAATCACTTGACTCTCCTCGACTTTCAGCACACAATGGAGGAAGTCTCCGACGAGCGTGAGACGGGGATTATGACGCATGGAATAACGTATAATTATTTATAACCGCGCCGGCTCTTGCGATGAATCGAAATTTTCCTGCGTGCCGAACTGCCTACCCGTCTCAGCCTACCTACCTAGCGGACCCTTTTGCATGAATAATACGCAAGGTTATATAATTCCGCGTGACTTGCCGCGATGGTTTCGTTGTGCTAATCTAATAATATCAAGTAACAATTGAATATTTCAGGTGCAGGTGTGTAATAATTGCATTTTCTCAGAAGTTACTATTATTAGCTGCTATTAAGTGACTCGCTTAGAAGTAAATTAAGAGTAAGCTACTATTACTAGTTAGTGAGGATTATATATAATTATTCCAATACCCCGGGAGACTTCCGGACTGTCAAATAATTTCTGTACATTATGCGCGTTGCTTGTACGAGAAACGCTACAGGAGAATATTGGCCGATGTGTTAATTTCCAACTGACATTACACCAATAATCACTTTTTGTAGATATTGCTGCTCGGTCTGACGACGATGGCGTACGCACAGTTCAGCAGGTTCACGACCCCTGCATATCCACAACCGACGCAATATTACAATCCCAATTACTACGGCGGCCCGCGGCCTTTCTACGCCATACTGCGACAAACGCAAGATTCCGCGCCGGACGGATCATATTCTTACAGGTGAGATCGACACCGGCGCGGCCGAGGTGTACGTACGTTTCGTCGAGAGAACGATCTCGACACGCTCGAGGAATCGCGGATGCCCTCGAACGTGTATGAAAACACGCTCGCGCCATTCGGTCGATGCAATCGCGAAGTTAACACGCTCGGCGTGACCGTACGTTTTTTCTTCTTCTTCTTTCATTGCGTCGCGTCTTCATCGAGGAGTGATTAATAGGCAGGAAGGAAGTGTACTTAATGCACCGGAAACACATGAAAGTAGTGACGCGTCTTGATTAGGAGACTTGCGTATTATTTCTCAATAAATATACTGCCCTAAGATTACTGTATTTTTTTCATAAGTGATAAAACTTGGGAAAAGTAGTATATAATTGGAAATATCATTTTTCAAGAAAAACAAACATAAAAAAAATTTTTTTATTAAGTTTAGAAGCAACCCGTTTATCAGTTAACAGTAGAATTTTCATATGAATTAATCTCCAAAACAAGATTTGTGTTGATGATAAAAGTTTCGTTTTCAGAAATATATTATAAGCATTACGTTAAAGATAACGTGTATTTGATCGAGAAGAATCGATATAATTGTCTGAAAAGATGTGGGATGCGTCGAGTCATTTCTCGGTAATACGTATTTATATAAGCATTGTTCAGTTGCTATTTTTCAATCTCGATAATGACGACATCCTTTTACCGTCTAAAGAAGGTTTGAACGTTGTAATTATGTCGATCGTGCTCGCGCAATATTTAGTCAATTTGCGATTATTTTATTGCTCGCCCACCCAAGTCATTCTCTCGAATCTCGCGACATGTACGGTGAAAATAGTGCTCGAACGAGAAGAGAAAGAAAATTTGAATCGTGCGAAGGCCAATAGTCTTACATGGGGATCCCAAGCATTCGCTTGGGATTGTTTCTGAGAACGGTATGTTCTATTAACCGTAATTAGACACGAAAAAATATGCGGACTCGGTCTGTGCTTGGTGTAGCAATCACATATGCATTGCGAATTCGCGAACATTCTCGTGTTGATATACCTACATAATTTAATAACGATGAAGAAATTTCCGGCTAATTTTCATTTTTATTATAGGATTAATACGAAATTTGCCTACACATTTTATCATATTTTATTACAAGTAATTAATTTTCTTAGTCGTACATACATTTCAATTTGTGATATAATAGTAGAAATCGTGTATTCGAAATTAAAGTACCGTGTGGGAATTTAAAAAAAATTTATATATTTAAAATTTATTTCTTATTTCTGCGTGATATATCATGGCTCACATATTACACACTAGTGAGCATCATAACAGCTATCACACTGGCATCTTATCATTTGCATATTCGTATGTTTATTTTCAGTCTCATTTATGTAATCATCATATAAACTTGTTCGTACGTAATAAATTAAATTAAATTAAATTCCCGTTTAATAGTAAAAAAAATTACGTTTTCTAATTACGAAAAAATACTTTCTTTACTAGAATGAAGGAACGATACTCTAAAACATCGATATAATGCAAATATAGTAATATTATCACATGATGGAGAAAAGCTGGTTAAAATTAACATCACAATTTAGTTCAACGACATATGAAACGTTAAATGTTCACATTCATTTACTTAAATAGAAATTGATAATGAAGATGGAGTTGCGCGTAAAGCGATTAGTCACAGCTTTAATGACAATTATTACAGGCTTACAACATATTCAGGCTTACAGAATTTTGCACGAAATGTAAGCCTCAATAATTATTACGTTATTTCCGTAACATGCGCGCAAACACACAAACATATTTTCTCTCTCTCTCTCTCTCTCTCTCTCTCTCTTTTTACCTGAAATATCATCTTGAATTATCGGATAATTATCGGACTAGACGATGATTATGCAAAATTCTATACGAGAGTCTGTAAGAAAAGTCGACCATCGCAAAGAGGTGTCGAAATATTTTCACCTCACTCTAACTTTCTAACATATCATGATTCGCTATAATTAGTTAAACACGACGAGATTGTAGGTCAGTGATTATCGAATTATCTGTCAGATGATGCATGCATCTCACATCATCTCGTAGCGCGATATTTACATCGCGCTGAATCTACACGACGCATCTCGCACGTGCAATTAACTTTGGAAAACTAAAAACCTGCGATTACTATTGCAACATTTATTTCGCGTTATACAATATTACACACTCATTTCTGGGCGACCTAATACCTCATTCAGCTCGATGGTCCTCATCAGAAATAGTTTCGCGACATGTATCATACCTCCGTAATAATCAATTATCTTTCGACGCTTTCTAACTCCGCGCGAGACTTTGTGCGCGCGACTCTATCATTTAAGATAATCGTTCGGGCGTGCCGAGGTCGCGGACCATTTGCGCGTAGGTCAAGTCACCAGATGGTTCTCCAGCCGCTACTTGAGACGATCGACCAGTCGCCTTAATCGAAATCGCAAAAACCGTGAACCCGTCTCGGCCGAAGGAAGGATACATAATTGGCTTTGATGTTAATCGTACGCGCGCCACTCGGCTGCACAGCTCGCAATAATTGCGCAATTGAACAATTACAATCGACCTACCTGCCTGCCTCTGCCTGCCTGCCTCTGCCTGCCTGCCTACCTACGCGCTCACCTTCCTCACCCATCCTCGCTGTCCTGGAGTTCGCATCTAACTCGGGCCCCTCCCGTGACACCTGTCTCTGGGACACTCTCGGCCAGGCTCCACCTAACATCTCGAAGGTGGTAGCACTTTTCTCTGACTGGTTTTCCCAATGGCAGCCCGGTGGGAAAACGAATACGAAAAGATAGTTAATTGCAAAGCCGATGATAATACAATTGTTCTTCTAAACAATTTGATAATAAATTTTAATTGTACTCTGCAGATTCTCTGCATGAAAATATGTATTCTCACGCGAAATCACACACTGAATTTTTTGTTTAAATATCGAGGCTCTTACAATTCTTGGTTCGAAAAATAAACTATTTCAGGCAATGTATTTACAGGCCTACAGGCTACAAAAAAAAAGTTTCACATATTTACAGTTTTACTGATTTTTTATTTAATTAAACTGCAATCTTTTTCTCTTAATGTAAACAGTTGTCTCGCAACAATCTGTCTGAACAATTTGCTCCTATTGCAGCTATGACACGGAAAATGGTATCTCCGTAGCGGAAACGGGACAGCCGAAGAACATTGGGCCTAATCAGATCGAAGCGGTCAGAGGTCAATACAGTTATACGGCCCCGGACGGCACCCCGATCCTGGTTACTTACACAGCCGATGAGAATGGCTTTGTGGCGAGTGGCGCTCATCTGCCGACACCGCCGCCGATACCGATAGAGATACAACGCGCCCTGGCGCACAATGCGGCTCATCCCGAAGAGGAGGATCCTTATAGGAGATATTAGAAATATCTACGCGCTAGGACTGCTCTCAACGCTTCGATATATCGACGTGAAATAACATCGTGGTTTACCACTTTTTGGGATATTGACGATATTTACTGTCATATTATTCGTCTCGTTATCTACGAAAGATTGTTTCGAAGCGGGTGGTTCGACCTTTGCTATTGATTCCGGAATAAACGTCAGAGCAGAAAAATGTTACGCGCTCTTCATTTCTTGAAATCGGATACGTTTGTCAATCATACGGTTGCCCCATGATTGTTATATCGATTATCAACTTATCGAGCAGTGCTAGTGTTTTACTTTGTGCGTGCAAAACGAGGCACGATTAGGCGAGACAACGGAACGTGAGATCGATGAGTACAAGCGAAGTGTGAATAAGAAAATGAAAGAAACGAATTCTTTAGTTGACGTAAAGGAACCTTTAATAAATATTTTTAGTCGTTATATTCTCAGTGATTGCAAAATTTCAATCAATAGATGTGACTGTGAGTAAAAAAGACAAAATTTTTACGCGGCTCTGGAAATGCTTTGTTTTTTTTTTTAGAAACTTATTTTCTCGATTTGAAATGCAACGGCCGGGCTTGAATGGCTATAATGATGCACAATTTGTTTCGCGTTGATCTTAAGAAATCGCGATGGTGCGACACACGAAAAGCCATAAAATCGTTCTGGAGGTGTAATTTATGCATACGGCCGATAATACGACTGCCATCAAAGCTCGAGATAAAATAAAATATTGGACGGAATTGTTGTATATTGCATCTGCTATGCGCAACGTGCAATATTCAGTGAAGTTCAGCATTATTATATAAGACGACACGATCTTAAATATGAATTACGCAAGACCGCCTTGCCTTACTCGAGGCAGATCAATATATTATGGGAGGTTATGCCGAGCGGTGCAATTTTGCGGATCGAATCGTTTTTTTATCTTTGTAATGACGAGACGTCATCTGAAAATTTTACGTTTATAATAGACTCGTAAAAAAAAATATAAATATTATGGTGCATAATTATTGCGTGCCGCAATTAACCGAAATTCGTACTCGTCCTTGAGGATTTCGTTCGTCGCCTGAACGTGCCTTAAACCCTAAACAGTATAAATTCATATAATAAAAATACGAAACTAAAGACACTTTCGTTTAACTTAATTGGGACAACAAATGTCATATATATCATGGAGTTTGAAAATTAAATTTTGTCAGTTTGTACAAAATTTTCAGGTGAAATGAGATAATCTTTTATATATTATACAATAAATCTCAAAAGAATAAAAATTCTGCCAGAATTCTGTTATACTGTTCAGGGTTAGCCGACTAACCAACGACATTCTGTGTCTCTGGAAGACCTGCCGAATACGAAGTGTTCCGCTTCGCTTTACTGATCCTAACACGAAAGAGATTACGTCCAACTGACGCGATCGAGGTCCTGCGTATCCTGCGAGCGTTTCGTTCCTCCACACTCCACATTCTCCACTCGGCGAGAAGTGGCGGGGACGATGGCGGAGGGAGTGAGTCGATGCAGGTGCCCGATGCGACAATATGTCATATCATAATTGTGCTGTAATGTATCAATGCTACTATATGGCTATTAAATCATTTAATTGCGCATGCTTCTCCACGTATTCTGAGTATCGTAATCACGTGCCTATAATTATAACGCGTCACCGAGGCGACCTAAGGATTCGTCCTCGTTCAGTGCCTTTAACGACTTTTAACAAACCGCGGGCATGATCACCGTATAATAATAAATTATTTTAATACGCAAGTTAGACTATCCTTTTGTTCAGCAATAATAATGTTAATTTATAATAACGACCGAGCTATTCGTTATTCATTGTTTGCGTGTAATGATAAATGCTGGACTCGCAGCATCATGTTTCAGAAATAGCGGTACTTGTAATAAGCCGGGGAATGGATTTCGAGACTATGTTGCGACGTTGGGATAAATTACAGATCGCCATGTGCTCGATAGATCGCTCGGCGATTTTTCAGGATTACGCGAGGAGGACGAAGTCGTCTGGTGGCTCGCATTGATTTGTTTACATAAGGTTGCTTTACGACGCGGCCGCGCGTTATATCGTAAACGTCGTGGATTGCTTAACGCGTTACGTCAGACCGTCAGAACGCGGGGAGGAGAAAGGACGTTGCCTCCCAGGCCCCGTTTTGGATTTGATTTCGATGAGAGCATGTGTCTTTCTCAATTCTTTCCAGCTAGCGAAGAGAAAAAGAATCTTCTCGGCATCGTGCAACGTCTACGTTCCCATTTTGACGATAACCGTTTTTGGTTAGCGGCTATAAGCGGCACGCGATGCAGCCACTGGATCACGTGGGGAACTCAGCAGCTCATCCATGTGAAACAACGTACGCGTCGAAATAATTATAGCAATTAGGGAAATAAGCCTGAACCGCTTTCTCGAGAGTGATATATGCCGTCATGATACAATCGCTTATCTGTCGAAGATCGATAGAACAAATGCATATACCAATTTAGAGGAACTTACTTATATTAAAATATCTGCATAATTCCGAACATCTTTAGATTGTCGATTGAAAGATTGAATTTACGCAGTTATCTGATTATCGCTGGATTACGTGTTGGCAAACATATAAAGCATCTTCTTAGAGATTCTTCTCTCAGAAGTCCTCTAGGATTACGTCTACCTTATTCAAAGTATCATATTACGTACTTTATTGTTAGACACGGTAATCTTATATTACTTGTACACGCATCGACCTTTTTTCCGAGTCGATTGATCATTTATTAGCTGTCGGGCCTGGGTGATCGTCGCCGAGCGTGTCTGTCCCGCGAAAGGACGCTGGCTCTAACCGTTAATTAAAATCAATTCTCGCGTCATTCGGCGACGTTTGGCGCCGATAAATAGCCGTTTAACGCGGTTTACGACGATTATACTGTCGCGGCGTGGGTTTTAATCGTCGCGCGCCCAAGCACGAGCGCGCGAAATTTTAGGCGGACCGACCGGCCGTGGAAATGCCATCCGGATTAATGTTAATGGTAATCGTAATATCATGTTAAAGGTGAGTCAGTGAAAGCAAATCATCGGTCTCCCGTCCGTTGCACAACGCGCGAACAAGCGACCGCGCGAACGAGCGAGCGAGCGAGTGAGTGAGTACATCTCTCGGGATTCCTCGGTTTATCCGCGAGATGGAAATGACGGGGTATCGAATTTAGTGATTCTCCAAAACTTTCTATGTGGCCGCGCGCGTAGAGCTTCGAGAATATGAAACAGGTGGGCTATAAATCGATCGTGGTCGCGAGAAGATGCGGGAATGCGTACGTGGAGTCTTTTTTAGACGCTCGTCAAATTTTATTGCCCGCGCGATAATTGCTGATAATTAGCTCGCGCGGTTGCACGACGTACATATTTTAACTTCGGGCACGGCTTTGCATTCACAATACGAGCGACTTACGCGAGACGCAAATTGCATCTGCAAATCAAACGGGGCAGTTAGCTCGAAAGGTCAGCCGCACGATTTCGTTTCTGAAATTAATTGACGCTAATGGAAATACCGGTTGAAAGCAGGACGAATATCGCGGCATCCCTGCCGATCGCTAGACATGAATTTGGCAACCCCGTTGTGATTTACGAAGCCGATGTCAAATTACATATCGCGAGTGTAAATTGTGGTTCGCGCGTCGCGCGAGCGATACAAACCGAAAGGTCATTTAGACTATTTCATACGTGGACTAGTGTGGCGTGAAGTATTGTTGAAAATTATAATCGGCAGTTGACAGTTAGTCATTACCAGCTGATAGTTATTAATGGCGATGGTTAACTATCGCGGATAAAACAATCGGATTCGCTCGTGCGTAATTTGTAAACAAAGCGCATTGCGAGTGTGAATAAAATTTTATATTTGCTCTTTTTCGAAGATATTTAAAAAATATTAAACAATTATCACATCTATCACAGATAGATTTGCATTGCCGAATGACTTTATCATTATTTCTGATTGAACGAAATTGTAACAATTACAAATAACTAGTTAAAGATCACGCCACATGCGTGCAACTGTCATGCTGCATGTTTATTTCTAAATATCGGGATCAAAAAATCCTCCATGTTGCAATTTTAAAATGTCCTGCAAGCAAACTTCAAAGTGATAGATATTTAAATTAGATACTGATTATAATTATATAGTTACGCTTGCATATCGTTATGCAATTTATTCAAGGATAAATAAACGTTATCGATTAAGTACGTGAAGAGCTGGATATTTAATAAATCTCTATTTAATAAATATAATATATTATAATATATATCTCGAAGTGCATACATAATTACATAAGAAATTGTATTATTGTTCATTTGCATATTAATATTGATTTTGAAAAGAGATTTTTCTTTCATTTTTCGCAAGCACAACCTTGCCAATTTTAAGATCACGATATTTACGTATGTAATTTATATTACATACGTTTATTTGTATTATACGAACTGACGAGTGGTTTACGACGAATTATACAAGTTGTTATTTTCACTGTATCGCGACGGCAAAGATTGTGCGTGCGCGTTTACCTGTCAAATTGCGAGGTGCAAACCGCTTGCTCGCTAACGAGGTTGTCGACGAGGGCCCCCGTGACTGAAAGGTGCCGCGGGAAGAAGTGGACCGGGCCCCTGTAACTATCGCAATAACACGTACGCGATACACGAAATCGATATTTTGCATACAATCGTGAAAAGTTTTGGCTTGAGTCTCGCATCAGCGATATCGGTCAAGGAATCGGACACTTCTGGAGACCGGACATGCCCTGTCGCAAAAATCGCGATCGCACCGCTGTGTGTCGCCGATCGTTTGTAGTCTCATCGCGCTTTTGCGCAAGAAAACTTGACGGTGCGCCGCTATTGTTCTGACAATAAGCGTTGACAGTCGTCCTCGCTTGCGAATGCGTACTCGTTTAATAGGAAAATAGAAAATCTCGTAGGAAGGCCGGGATTTAATACGAAGTAACGCGCGGACAAACTAAATTTAGATTCGCACACCAATGAAACTAATTATATGGTATATTCAGTAACAGAACTGCGTCTTCAACTGCGTATCTCGCTTTATGTAATGTATTTCAGTTTTTAGCTTGGTTCTTTTACTCGACAGTCATGAAATTGTCAATGTTTTACTATATCCCGTCAATATAATCATGCATGAGTAACGATTTAATTAATGTATATCAAAATTCTTTACATGGGAGAAAACACTAAAAGTAGAGATAGAGAAATATTATTAAATAAATATAATCTAATGAAAAATGTTAAAAAAAACAGAAAAGAAAAAATAGTATATCTAAAATAAAATAAAAATGTGTATAGCACTCTGAGTGTGAACGACACATTAGTAAACATTTAAAAACATACATGGAAATGAGAGGTAGAAAATTAATGACAATTATCGCAAGGGAGAATTAAAATGTTTCCTCAATCCCGTAGTCGGGATTCTCATGGTAGATAGACCTCCGCGATGACAGTTAAAGTCTCCCGGCATGAATTCCTTTCTCCGCTCGTCATCTATAACGGAAAGAAAGGAAGGGCATGGCACAGCGAAGAAAGGAGACGCTTCGAATGCCAGCGAGACGACAACGCTTCGCAATTCGTTCGCGCTCGTATTGATCCGGGTATAGTCGCGATAGAAACGATCCCTAATAAGCACTTCGTCATGTGCCCACGATCATAACTATACATCCTCGCAGTCATGTCGTGACATCATCGACGTAATGTATTGCGTTCTCCGACAAATCGGTGCGAGAAACATGCGACTTCACCCTTCGTGTTGATCGTCGGAGACCTTGAAAGGCTTTCGTGATGGTGAAAGAGGGAACAAGAGGGAGGCGCAGAAGAGGAGGAAGATTTAATTGTGCTGAACACAATGAGATCGATAAAGGGAAGACGAAGATTTATAGCGAAAGATTCTGTGCATTGCACAAAATTAAAAATTTGCGAATAGAGATTACTCATATTCCACGTGATAACGAGGTAATCAAATTCTCACAATAAAAGCGACGAAGAAGCGTAAGAAGCCTCTGGAGGAATTAAGAAATTTAGATGCTGATGTCTCGTCTGTTTCAAATTCTAGAATTTCCAGTAATTAATGCACAACGGGATTAACGAAATCCCGTAGGAGAAAGTGTATTAAGGGGGAGGAAGTAGTTGTCAATCAACTGACCTTTAAATGTAAAAACTCATCTCTCTCTCTCTTTTTCTTTCTTTCGTTCTTCATGTCGTAAATTCGACTCACTCGGAAGACGTGGGTTGCGAAGTGCACGAGCAGGCGAGTGAATCACGAAGCAAAATCGGATGAAAGTCAAAGGTGAAACACCACAACGGCGAATTTTGGGCGTTGCCGCAGGCTTCCGGGCACGGAATCGATCGGGATCGAGGTCTTGATGAGAGGAGAGGACCTATTTCGTGATCACGAATCTCATCCAGGATGGTTCCAGATCCGAGGCCTGCCTCGCCTCGGGGCGTACTGAGACCCACTTGAACCCCGGTCTGACCTTTCTGGTTTTATTAGCCAAGTCGGCTTAGGTATGCCTCGTCATCATACGACGAGGCACAAAGACGCTCGTGCGCGTGTTCGAGAAGGCGCATACCTTCGGGGTCCTCCCAGGCAAGCATCCTCCTATCCGAGAATTGTGCAAACCGATCCGCGCCTTGCGATCCTCCGTCGGCTGCTGAAATTGCCCTGCTGTACCGCCTTCGCGGTCAAGATGGATCATCGATATGCTACTCATTGGCTACTGCCGCATGATTTACGAGAATTCAGTTTTATTTCGAAATTATCGGCTTATATTATTCGGTTTATCGCATTTAAATTTTTATTTTATTTTTGTCCCCGCAAAATTTATTAACTAATTTTACGCTTTACACGCTGAAAGAATGGCTTTGCTGAAAAATTTATAGATACAGATATAAGAATAATTACGTTGGATCATCTAAATAATTAACCTCAAGTTGATTGTTAGAATATAATTATTTTCAGATTTATATCTATAATTATTATATATTTAAAAAAACCATTCTTTTCGTGTTAACTTTAAAAAATGTTACAGTTCTTTTAAATGTAAATTCAAATAAAACTAGTCTTGGAAGTATAGGCTTCCCAAATAAAAGAAACACAGATAGGAAGGTGCTTTTTATCCTTTCAAAATTGATGACCTCTGTTGCTTGCAGATTTTAAAGCCCACTGAATGTCTAGCAAGTTCATCTGTCAATTTTCAGAAAAATATTATTCTCGAGGAATTGGACATAATAGTGACAGGTACAGGAATAGGCAAGAAACAATGTAGCCGAAGCAAAATGATCACGATGTAATTCGAGTGGCCTATGCACGATTAATGACGACAGATTACGTCTTCGACGTCGCAGTTTTACTCTTGGTACAGGATAATTCATACGCAACGCACCATGCAATAAACTTGCGGCTATCTGTAGCTGCAAAAGCGTTAGATCGGATAGATACGTAGAGATAACGTCCAAAGGGAATAATATTCCCGCTGCGTAACAGTGACAAATGACGGATACGAGAGACTTTAACGCCCGATAAATCAGCGCTCGCGACAGAGCGCCGGCGACGTTCCGGCTGGTATTAATCGCCGCGTACGGCGGGAACGTGTAAATTTATGATTTCGCGGACTCCGGGGTGTGCAGCGCGCAGTCAGATGTATTTACGACGAAAGTGAGCTGAAGAGACGTTACTCTCGTCCAGCGGTGAGCGCTTAATGAAAATTGTGAATACCACTTACTCGACGGCATTTCGCAGGTTTCGACGCGTTATTTACTACAATGTGTGCACTTGCGCGTGTTACCGGCGTACCGTACGGTACTCGGCCAGGCAAATCGCTTGGCAAGCGTCAAGTTTATATCTAACGTGCATTAAACTCGGGGGAAGAAGAGTTTACCTTGTGCGCACATGTTACTTTGCAACACAGATACACACAACACTCAGTATCGCTCCTAGCTCTCCAGGCTCTAAGGACCGGGTAGAGTTGCCGGCTGCATAATCTCAGATTCCTCGATTCCACCGTCCCTTTCCTGCCTAGCGTATATTACCTATTGCGCAAAAGTCGACGAACGCTAGAATTACCCGGCTTTGCACGCACGTATTTTGTTCGAACGCGACGACAAAGTAAGCTAGTTAAGGATTTAAACGTAGCATGATTTATGAAGATGTTGCGATTACTTAAAAGATGCAATTTGGAAAAAGAAGTGTCTGTAAGAACAATATATTGCACCAATCGATCCCAATTAGTGCTCTAATTATATATTATATTTATTTGAAGTTCACTCAAATTAGATATTTTTAACCGATAAAGAATCCATATAAATAATTAAACAAATTACGAGCATAATAAACTATGAATCGGAAGAGGCTCTCCAGAAAGAGCATATACATTAGATATATATGTATATGGAAAATTTGTTATTACTATAAATTTTATTGATATAAGTATTTAATTCTGTTATAATATATGGATCAATTAATGTGTCTGACGTGTCTCGTAATGTCAATATCGAATACAGTAAACGGCCCGTAAACGTACTTCGATATTTGATTGCAAGAAGTCTCAGTGATGATATAAGTTGACATTTACCCCCGTTTAGACCGCGTCGATAGGACAAATCGGTAAGTAATGATGCACTTTTCAACCGGTTGGCCGAACGGTAATCGTCCGTGGAAAATGATGAATAGCCGGCTTTCCACGGGCAGCGGTCGACTCTGCGCATTGTGCGCGGTGCGCATTGCCGTGGATAAGCGCGGTATCCATATCACGTATATACATCGCGCATCAACTTCAGCACAAGCGATTTGACTTGTCTGCACGATTCCGGCTGGCGAATCGCGTATGCACCGAGTCGCGGATTCGATTGCGGTCTTACCTAGGAGATATTACGACTTCGCGTGCAATTATACACGCGTATATCGAGATCTTTGCACGGATGGAAGCGTTTACTCTGTTCTAGGAGCGATCACATCTCGTGAGGAATTACGCGCTGGGATTTCGACAAATGTAGAAAAGATGAGATACTTGCGTAAAAAGTAAATGACTTGCGATGACGGTGGAGAGGAGCCCGAATGAATATTAATAAAACGAAAGGGATTATCTTCTACACACGTATAGTGCACAATAAAGACAAATTTACCAATTAATATATAATTAAAAGACTAAAACAATTCATAAATGTTATAATTTTCATTGTTACATTCTTTAATTTTCAATATACTAATTGGACACCAATTTTTCTTCATATAAAACTATGTATATGATCCCCATATAAGTATTTAATGAAGTTATTATTGCACACACAGTATCCGTAACAACCGTCCATGCAAAGTGCTATTGTTTCTTCTTCTCGGATCAAAGAATTTATATGTAAAGAAGAGATGTGAATTCTCAAGGTTGCGAGGGAGAATCTGAGCGCGTAGATTTCTCGCGAGGCATATCGGTGTGTAACCGTCATTACGTAACGCTCTCGATACACGTGACGAAATCAGGTGCATGAATGGGTATCTTATGGTGCATTGTTTCTGATTTGTCTATTTTGCAGTTGCATTGCCACACGCAAGAGCGTAGATGCAGCGATGGTGGATCATAAACGTGTGCACGAATCGACAGGTGGATTACGCTCTCCCTCTCTCTCTATCTTTCCTCTCCTCTCTCCCTTTAATCGTTTTGAAAGTAATCGGAGGACAATACGACAACGCGATCACACATATTTAGGATCTCGGCCACGAGAAACGAAAGCTACGTGACAGATATGAAAAAAATGAAATCATCGCTGCCGATTACGTCGCGCCCATTCGACGGTCTCGCCCGGTTCTCGAACTCAAACCGACACTCGTCGCATCTGTTGTCGGCCGACGTTGCCCGCGGCCGCGTGGGATTTACACATATACATAGAGTACCCGTGTCCCGCATTTCTTTAATGCAAATGCGCACAATACCGACTGTCATGAGCGGCATAACATTTAAATTTATTGGGACTCGCCGATACGATCGGGAGAAAACGCTACTCTTACCTATGTTCCTTTTACATTTACAAAGGCGAATGCTCTGTGCATTATTTATAGACCTTGCGTGATATTTTCGCACGATTAGTAACTAAATTTAATGAGTTTGATAATCGCCTCTATGTAATCTCTCTTTCAACAAAAGTAGATACACAGTATTATGTACAGTCATCACGTGAGTCTAATCTTTATTATTGAAGTTACATTCATGACATTTCCGTTAAGAAAAAATCGTTAGATTATTCAATGATCCGATTATAAAAATATCTATTGCTCGTTTAATAAAACAATCGCTGACAAATGAAGAGTCGCCTTCATCGAGAATACGCAAAATATGAAGCTGCGTGCATGTTTATCATCCAGTATCATCACTATATACGCTATATACAATGACACCCACATCGTCGTCTCTCGCAGCGACAACGATACGTTAACGAATGACTTTATTAAATTGAAACAGTAGCCAGCGTGGGCATTCGCGAATACATACGTATATGTATGCCAGCAATTAATTGGTTTGCCGATGAATTAAATTTGCGCGAGCGATCGGCGGTGGCACGTCGGCAACTCGTTCGATCATGTAAGGCGTAGCCGCCGCGGCCGGCTGCTGGGATGCCGCGGCGACGACGCCGTGCATGCACGTTTGGGGTTGCGAGGTGGGGCGAGGATGCGAGGGCGACGAGGGATCCCCGACGGAGGAGAATGCTCCTCTCCCGGGTACGAGCGAGCGAGTGAACGAGCGATTCTACGCAGAAATCGGGAGAATGGGAAGGGAAGATCCTCTTGGGTGTCTTCATATAAATGACGACGGTGCTCGCGGCACGGGATCACAGATTCGATCTCGTTCAAATCGACAAAGCCGTACACGAACCGCCGATAATCGTCGTCATCGTCATGCAGTATTTAGTGAGTGATCTGTCTCGTCGAGGCCATTGACAATTTTTTGGATATCGATCGTTCTCCTCCCGCGACCGCGTTCGCTTTTTGTGTTTTCTTCTTTTTTTTACTTTTCTCTTTTTTATTTTTTATAATTATTGGTGGACGCGCGATGATCGGTGAATGTATCGGTGGACGAGAAAAACGTTTTTTTTTCTGCTAAATCTCAATTCCGATTGCACAAGGATCGTATCCCGATAGCGAAACATTCCGCATTTGGTGGTAATTCACGTGGGATATAGAACGCGAGTATATCAGTTGTCTCTAAATAACTAAAGCTTCTAAATAATTGGTTTCTGACTTGAACAAATGTTGGGAAATGTGACACTCTTCGAAATCTTCAGTAATAAAAACAAAAAAAAATACCGCAAATACGCGAGTTTTTATATAGCTATGTATATAGAGTTCGAAAAAAAAAAATAAAACAGTGTGTTATATATTCTACAATTTATAAACTGCATCAGTACACTTCAGCTTTAATTTTATATTAATGTATTAAAAATATATCTTTATATTTAGAAAATAATATTCACAAAATAAATATTATTTTATAAATAAATAATAAATATAAAAAATATATTTTAAAATATTTTTGTGTGTTAATTCGTCGAATAAAAACATCAATATGATTGCAGATCTTGGCCTTTGCAGTTTTCGGCTGCGTCTTTGGACAATTCGGATCGTACCGCGGCTTTCCCAGCCAAAATGCATATAGAGCAACGCCGAGGCCCTATCAACCGCAACCGCAGCCGCAGCCGCAGCCGCAGTATACGCAGCCGCAATACACGTATGACATCTGTAATCTATATGACAAGCTGCTAAAATCTCAATATTTCAATTTAATTGAAATATCGATTGATTGAAATATATTATTGTTATATATAAGTTTTAAAAATAAAAGCGTTTAAAATTAAAGGCTGAATGAAATAATATGGTTTCGATTTTTCGCCGTAGGTCTGGAGCAAGACCGTTCATAGGCATTCGAAGCCAGCATAAGGATACATCGCCGGACGGATCTTATACTTACGGCTATGAAACTGAAAATGGAATTTCAGTCTCTGAAAGGGGATATTCTCAAGCCGGACCTCAGGGTCAAACGGAGGTAAAATAATTATCCTATTGTTTAATATATGTTTAATACGTCTAATCTAATTTCGAAAGATTCAATTGTATTCAGAAAGTTACATACTAGAAGAAACTTGATTCTTTATTTTGAAGTTATCAAAAATTAAATTAAACGTTTAATTAAAATTTTATAAGTTGTCTTTCATAATTAATTATTACTATATAATCGTTAAGAATACTGAATATTTATTATTGTTACGTTTTAATAATATCGACTAACGTTAATATAACTATTAACAATCAAATTAATACTTGAATAAAACATTTTTGTAAAAAACTTTTACAAAAATTTTTTTGAAGAAATTCTAAATTTATCACAGAAATTTTCATTAAATTCCTGTATTTGTATAGCAGATGTGACGGATATTGCATCATCTAACAGAAATTAATAATTATGTATGGGTATTATGTAATATGCAAATATTATTTCTCCATACTATAATTTCAATAAGCACTTCCTTTCTCTTTAGAAATTAATGAGCTCTGCTGTTATTTCTAATATATATTTATTACTATTTATTATTTTTAATAATTTTTTTGTTACATTTTTATCGGCAAAAGTTTTTATATTTTCCATTCTTTAGTCTTTTATTAAAGACTTGTCTCACTGATGTAGCGGTCGAATTCAGCTTCTTAAGAATTTGAGAAAACTCCAGTCACAATACTGTTGCAAGTGAATTTATATCACACTCAATTATATTCGAATAAAATGTAAAAAAAAGATTTCTCAAGTTTTAATTGGCGCATCTATCTCTTAATTCGATTCATACAGGTGGTCCAAGGAAGCTTTTCGTATAACGCACCCGACGGAACCCCTATTACCATCCAGTATACGGCCGATGAGAATGGTTTTCACGCTGAGGGTGCCCATATTCCCACGCCTCCCCCCATCCCGGAAGCTATTAGAAGAGCGCTCGCGGCAAATCCGCCCGGGCCCGATGACGAGAAGTACGACCGCGAGTACGACCGGCAACCCTTCCAGCAGAGATTCGGCGGATCGTCATACAATGCCAATTCATTCCGGAGATTCTAGTTTTACTGTATGAACCGCGAAATCCTTCACGGTGCATCCACGACCAGCACAGTCCAGCGAATCCGCTGGAGGGAGGCTCGGCTAGATATCGATACATGTGACGGCTTCGAGTCATTCTTTTTTCCCTCCCCCGCCTCTAATGCAAAGTGATACGTGTATATAGGACACAGTATGGTGGATAACAAAACAATATCGATCCCTACATAAAATATAACTGCCGTTACGTAATAAATCAATATATGTATTGTTTCTATTTGTTGTCGAATTTATTTCTCGCCCTTCCTATCCTGCGTTTGCATTGGCATTGAGAAGAATGGACAATTCATCATTGTCATCAGTTGTACGTTCTCTTCGTTTTCTCGTTTATAAATGTATAACTTTATGTCGAATTTATGTGCAATCCGACAAAAGTTATGAACTGATCGCGTACTCAATTGTTTTTTATTTATTTAAAGATGTTTCGTGGGAAGAGTCATGCACCGCGAATGTTTTGCATTCTGGGGAGATTTTTATGGCGAGCGCTAGCATGCACCCATCCGTTCGTCGTGTCGCGTTCCCACGAAAAATGGCGGATGACGTGGAATAATAATGAGATTGTGGTTCCAGGGAAGGAAAGAGCGCTTAATGTCAATCTCCACCCACGTCGGCCACGTGATGACATATTGCGCAAATTTTCATTCGGAATAACGCGGAGTCCCGCGGGCAATGCAGAATTTCGTAGGGACACGGTCCAGTTTGATTAAAGAACGACAGCTTCGAAAAGTCGCTTTTCGTCTATCTGACCTGACACAGTGACATACATCGACGGTGAGAAAATGCCAGTTTTACAGGCACGGTAACGCTGCAGCGCCGTTGCATCATCTCTGTGCACGCCGAGCGAGCACTCATTCGTATCTTGCGCGGCTTGCTCGTCTGTAATTTGCCGCAAAACTTGGGATCTAATAAACGTAATATAGTTGACGTGCGATTACACTTTTCATGAAGCTGCTACCGCTCTGTTTATTTATATACTTTATAGCGTCGCGCGAGAAAAGAATGTGCACGATCGTGTTTTATGAATGAACGCAAAAATGTTTCGCTAAAAGTCACTATATCTCGATTGTTCCTCTGTGAGATAATACGATGACGCTTATTATAATTAAACACAATTAACGCTGTGACGGGTGGCAAACTCTTGTAAAATTCATTTCCTCGCGGTAAATCATTAACTTTTCTCGCGGGTCAGAATGATGCACGTAAATTTTGCGATTATCTTTATGATCGTGAGTGAAGGCGGTATGTGAAGTTCAACTCCGCCAACGGCTGTTTAAAAATCCGCAGCGAAATCAGCTGAAACGTTTGAACCTTTCACGCCGCGCAAACGGCGCTTCATACTCGTCTTCTTACGATTCTAATATTCTTCTCATTTTTCAGATTCAAATTTGTGATGCAAAAATTAATACGGTTTACAGAAAATAATATATAATTATATAGCAAATAGTTTATCATGAATTTATATGAAACATAGAGTTACGTTAAATTACATTTTTTCTTTTAAATCTATGTAATAAAAAAATATATAATTTTCCCGTAGAATAGATATAAAAATATCGAAATTATTGCATATTCATATATAAAAATTTTGTTATATAAAAATAGATTTTAATTGATAATTTAAAAGAAAAATGAAATTTAATAGGATTCATGTTTCGTCGTTATAGATTTCTTTGTGAAAAAAATTTATGCGTTGATTTTTCACGCCTCAATGAAGAATCCTGCCGGAAGTTGAAATGGTCGAAAATAAATCGCGGAGTAAAAGGCTCACAATAAACGAGGCTACAGGCACCCTGACCTCTCTAATATGCAACACGAGAGGATGAGAGAGCGCATATAGTTGAAGTTCGCGTGCACCACGCCTGCAGCGAGCGCTAGCTCATACGAAGGTGCGTTTATTGTATAGCGAACGTGTATAAATTCGTCGCTGCAATAAATCTACAAGAATTGCAATTCAAAATTAGATTCATTTTCTTCATTACGTGTCATTGCTTCACCTTTGAAAACTTGTTTAGTTTGTGAATTTCTACCTATCTTTTTGCTGTTCGAGCTCTGCTTTTTAGAGCAGATGCTTTGTAAATTCTTATTTAACTTTTCAAGTGACGAAAAAAATTTTTTTCAGTGGACTAAAAAAAAGAAAAAAAAAAGAAGAAACGTTACGCATCGTAATTGAGGCGCGCAAATGCACCTGAAATGAATCATAGCGAGCGAATAGGGTGGGATGGGTACAGGTGAAAGTGTTGTACGCACATCTCGGCCTCTCTTTCGTTACTTCGCATTCTTCCACGCATCATCCCGGTCAAGGACCGTCCGCCCGGCGCATACGGCGCGACTTGGGCGGTTCTGCACTTCCTTCGAAAGGTTCGATCGGACCGTCACACGAGATGCAGGTGTGTGTACGAATGTATGAGCTAAAGAGAGAAAAAAAAAGAGAAAATAAGTAAGCAGAGCGGGATGAACTGACTTAAGATGTGCCAACTATTCAAATACGAATTGGATCGAATTAGGTATAAGACTAAATTAAATAATAATGAGCTGTAAGTATTGATAATAAAATAAACTGTATCAGTTTATATTTTCATTACTATATAGGTAATGTATGTTGTTGAACTACAGTTAAAATACTTTAATAATTAATTCATCTATATGATTTTTGGCTAATTGGTTCAGTTATTGCAATAATATATTTTCATTAATAATCAATTTTATATTAAATATTCATATTACCTTAAAATAAATTTACATTATACAATCAATATTATTTTTCTTACATTAAAATCTTTTATTTATTATCAATGCGTTAAAATTTAATTAACCAATAATAATTATATTGTTAATTATAAGATTTATATATTTCAATGATTCAATACAATATAATAATTAATTCAGGTTAAATTTTATCAATTTGATTCGATATCGCGATTCAGAAAAAAAAAGATTTAATTTGATTCGGTGTTAAAATTCGAAAATTTAATTAATTCGCATATCTCTTAAAACACACCCCAATTTTGCAATCCGTTTATAACTTGATGCTTCTAATTTCAATTTTTCTGATAACAATAAATACATATATATCATCCACTCGCGTCGTGTGATCTCTTCACACTTATATTGTTTTCGATCATCTTATTTTCGAGTCTTCATCTCTTCGCGTTAACAATATTTAATAGTTAATAATAAATTAAACGGAACACATGTGGGGAATAATAATAATTAGATAAAAAATGTAAATATTTCCAAAAAATTCGTGAAAAAACAGAACGTACCTCAATAATAGTCTCGAAGTTACGCCGCAAAAGATTTTACGCGATTTCTTTATATAATATAATCACTCTAACAATTGAGTTATTACTTTGAGTTAATTATTTTACGTAATAATATACAATATTACTTAGCACAACTGGAAAAAATTTTCGTACACTGAAACACATCAAGGTTAACACCGCAGTACCGCACAAAAATGGCACGATTCTTGTTTTTCTTCAGAGTATGTTCAAGTGCCATCTGCAGAGAGCGGAGGTAATTATAAATCATCGATTTCTTGTCGGTAAATTCAGATTTACCGTTCGTTACAGAATGAAAGTTGAATTCGTTCCCAATAGATGTCTCTTCGCAGATTTTTTCTCTGCTGATTTCGCTTGTAATCAGAAGGAACGTAACCTCAAAGGGGCTCCGGCGATCAGGAGTATCGAGACTGTCAACGTCAAACGTCGCGAATAACGAACGTCGAAGGCGTGAAGGTGTGAACAAATAGGATTTAACAAGAGCGAAGATGCCGGATCATCTAGGAGAAGATATGCGAAAGGTGAAGAATGAGGAGGAGAAGGAAGAGAAGGAGATAAAATGTGAGTTCCCTTTTCAGCGATTCTCTTTACTATCCACTTTGTCATAATTCTTATTTCCTAAAGGCTATCTTCTCAATTTTCAGCACTGGATGAAGGCGACATCGCTTTATTGAAGACTTATGTAAGTTAATCATCGTTATACTGTTGTTAAAAGAGATATTTGAAATCAAGATATGTGGAGATGAATGCTCATTTGTCATATGATTGTCATGTCTAGAGTCCCTGTAAATTTTTGTTTTAATTTTTCATTTAGGGCCAAGGACAATATACGAAGAGTATTAAGGCTATCGAGGAGGACATCCAAACAATTATCAAACGTGTGAACGAGTTAACCGGGATCAAGGAGTCCGATACTGGCCTGGCACCACCCGCACTCTGGGACTTGGCGGCCGACAAGCAAACTCTGCAAAATGAGCAACCTCTGCAAGTGGCGCGCTGTACCAAAATCATAAATGCGGATTCGGACGATCCGAAGTATATAATAAACGTGAAGCAGTTTGCGAAGTTCGTAGTCGACTTGGCAGATTCTGTAGCGCCGACGGACATAGAGGAGGGCATGAGAGTGGGAGTGGATCGCAACAAGTATCAAATTCATATCCCTCTGCCATCCAAAATCGATCCCACTGTGACGATGATGCAAGTGGAGGAGAAACCTGATGTCACCTACAGCGACGTTGGTGGCTGCAAAGAGCAAATCGAGAAATTGAGAGAAGTCGTCGAGACGCCATTGTTGCACGTTGGTTTATTAGTCATACTATTAGCGATTCATTGACAAAGTGTAGAAAATAACGAAGTATAACGAAGATATAATTGCAGCCGGAGAAGTTTGTCAACCTTGGTATCGAGCCGCCAAAAGGTGTTTTGTTGTTTGGACCCCCAGGTACAGGAAAGACTTTATGCGCCAGGGCGGTGGCTAACAGGACAGATGCCTGCTTCATTCGTGTCATTGGTTCAGAATTAGTTCAAAAATATGTTGGTGAGGTACGTTAGGTGCTGTGTGCGAGGAAGGAATTTAAAGCAAGCAAAAATAAAATTTATGTGAATAACATATACAATTTTTCTTTCTCAGGGTGCTAGAATGGTGAGAGAACTATTCGAGATGGCGCGAAGTAAAAAGGCCTGTTTGATCTTCTTCGACGAAATCGACGCCATCGGCGGTGCCCGTTTCGATGATGGTGCCGGCGGTGATAACGAAGTCCAACGTACCATGTTGGAATTAATAAATCAATTAGATGGGTAAGAGTTGCCCTAAATCTTTAAAGAGCTGTATCTGATTATTTCACGACTTATCTCCGAATTTTTTTTTTTCAGATTTGATCCGCGAGGTAATATAAAGGTTCTAATGGCAACGAATAGGCCAGACACGTTGGATCCCGCGCTAATGCGACCGGGTCGTCTGGATAGAAAGATAGAATTTGGACTGCCGGATCTTGAGGGACGCACGCATATTTTCAAGATTCATGCGCGCTCGATGAGCGTCGAGAGGGACATCAGATTCGAGTTGCTCGCTCGTTTGTGTCCCAACAGCACGGGCGCTGAAATACGATCGGTCTGTACCGAGGCTGGTATGTTCGCGATCCGTGCACGACGCAAGGTTGCCACAGAGAAGGACTTCCTCGAGGCGGTTAACAAGGTCATCAAATCGTACGCCAAGTTCTCTGCAACGCCAAAATACATGACCTACAATTAGAAGATCGCATTTGCAGTTTGTTTAATTTTCGTGTTCGATAAGTTATTATCAGCGCGTCGCATAAATCCGGTAATTATTTCTATTGCTGTATCTAATTAGTCAAGAAGCAACTTTATTCTCAAGTAGAACATAATAAACGTTGTTTTTTGACAAACCTTTCTGAGATTTCTCTGTTCTCGTAATTCCAAATGATTTTTTTTTTTTACGCATGTAGACTTTCGAATCTTAATTTAATAGGCCCATCAGGTTTATTGATTAATAACGAAACTGAATCAAGGGTCTCTCCGCACCATGTAAATCTCAGGTTTCTGCAGATCTGCAAAGAATTCGTTGAAACATACGATTGTGCATTACGATATTATTAAGAATGAATCTTAAGACGCATTCTTACTCGGAGTAAGACAACTTGCAAATTTTGTTCCGCGAATCGTCTTGCAATGCACGATCGCGGACCGTGGCCAAAGGGCAGTACAGTATACGGATTGATAGACTTTTCTTTCAGCTTGTTATTATCGCGCAACCATCTCTCGGGTTTGAATGAATTTGGTTTGTCGAAATACTCGGGAAGCCGACAAATCACTTGATTTTGCGTAACAACCACAGTCTGAAACATTTCAATAAAATTTTCTCTTACTAAAGAATCTGTTTCTTACATCACTTAAAAAAATAAATCATTTATTCGTTAACAAAAAATAGAAAATACTCCTTTGGGAACGCGATATCCGCTCAGAATCACGTCAGTTTGCAGGATACGACCTATCCCTACGCTGATAGGATTTAGCCTGAGAGTTTCTTTTATAACTGCTTTGGTGTACGTAGCGTTCTTCAGTGTCTCCGCCGTTATCGGAGACATAGGATCCGTTAACAAAGCCGCAGCCTCCGATCTTAGCTTTTCTTGAACACTTGCATTTCTTGCAAGGTGATACAAGGCGAACGACATGCTGTATGTCGTCTAAAAATAATACGAAACTTATATTTATAATATTTTCTTCTTACTACAATTCCTTTGTTATAACTATATTTAACCGCAAGTTGATTAATTCCATGTAAAACGTATAATTAAAATATGTGATACCTGAATTCCATTAAAAACTTACGGTATCTACACCAGCGAGCAACATATCACACGCCATACCCACGACATCTTTGATGTCTAAAGCATCATTTTTCAAATATTCCTCGAGAAGAGATTGTTTCCTATGTATCAACACATCTCGATTTCTCTGAGAGATAACCATTTCCAGCGCTATTCTGAGATATCCGAAAAAAGTTATAAGTTGCGACAGAATTGTGTAAATCATAAAGATTTTAACAGAGATTTATGTCATTATCATGAATTGTCATTATCTTCCATAAATAATGCAAATATTTGTTGCGACATGAAAAAAAAATTACTTAAAAATAAAACGGTAAAATCAAATAAATTAATCATGGTTTATTTATTAACAGTTTAACTAATTTTAAAACCTTATTTTGAAAAGTTCAGAGAATTTACATGTATAAAATTTATTTAAACTTATAAATATTTAATAATAATAACATTATCTTCATATGTTTAAAAAATCTATTATACAGTTTTATTTGAATTTATCGTTTATCCTTTTATTTAAACAATATCTTGAATATTCAATATACAATATACAATATCTTTATATAATTTTTTTAATACAATTTCTTTTATACAATATTGGAATATATCGAGTATATACTCGATATATTTTATTTTTGAGTATTATAAAATCTTTAAGTCTTTGAATTTTATCAAAGTAAGATTTAAAAATTAATTGATGGAAATGATAAAAATGATTAATTACTTTATTTAAATAATCTACTTTTCTCTCTTGTTTTGATAATTAATTTTACTGTTTTACAAAAATCTATTTTAATGCATTACTGGTATCATTGACAAATTTTACTAGTTCCACAGACTCCGTTTATATCAGCCACGTGTCATTAATGTTAACTGCAGAAAATAGTAATGCAAACTTTAAATTTTGCATTATTTATGAAAAAATCAATTATTTCATCTAATGATTTAAAGTCATTGCAATTAATACTTTATGTCTGCATTACTGAATAACTTATTGCGCACTCACTCTTCCATGTAATTTTGCGCCTTGCGCAATTTTCGATATGCTGGTGTTTCGAAAAATCGCCAAATCATGGGGCCATTATCTAATGTTAAAATTAGGCTGTTTGTCATAAACGCTGCTTCGATTAGCCTTGAACTACGGGAATGCGGATGTTTTTCTTCTTCCGATAGACTTCGCATCTTTACATCAAAAGCCACGAGACAAGTCACTGAAAATTAATTATGACAATGCAAATTTTTTTTATTAATGTATCAATATTTTTTACTAAAACTAGTAACGCTAATAGAATAATTATTTATCTGGATATATAAGGCTAATACGTTCGAGGAAGAGATGTGAGAATAAAGATAGAAAATCGTTGGGTTTCTCGTGGGAGCAGAGCCGCACAAACTCCTGGACAACTGCGTCCGTATCCTCCAGATAATTGACAACATTGCATGGTTTGCTAAGGACCTTCTGAAATTCGCGACGTATTCTCCACCACTCGGTGCCGTTTCTGAGTAAAATATTAAATCATTAATCTTCGTTCTTTAATTTTGATGTCAGAAGGATTACGAAGCGATTTTACTTACATTGAGAAAAAAAATTGATTGAAAAACGCAAAATTTGTTTTTATCTTACCAAAATATTTAGTCCGATACGATCAACTAAACGTTACTACAATGACACAAAACAATTTGTTATTATTATAAACAAAATACTAT